GCGGCCGTGCCGGGGGATGCACCTCGAGTACCACCGCAACGCAGTGGTTATAGTAGCGGTAGGGACCGGTAGGCTGGCTGCTCCGTCTGGCCGCCTGCCTGCCTGCCTGCCCGCCTGCCTGCCTGCCTCCCCTGCCTGCCTGCCTGCCTGCCTGCCTGCCTGCCTGCCTGCCTGCCGCCTGCCGCCTGCCTGCCTGCCTGCCTGCCTGCCTGCCTTGCCGCCTGCCTGCCTGCCTGCCTGCCTGCCCGCCCCTGCCTGCCTGCCTGCCTGCCTGCCTGCCTGCCCGCCTGCCTGCCTGCCTGCCTGCCTGCCTGCCTGCCTGCCCGCCTGCCTGCCTGCCTGCCTGCCTGCCTGCCTGCCTGCCTGCCTGCCTGCCTGCCTGCCTGCCTGCCTGCCTGCCTGCCTGCCTGCCTGCCTGCCTGCCTGCCTGCCTGCCTGCCTGCCTGCCTGCCTGCACGTCGGTCGGGTTGCCCTCCTCCAGGGGCCCGTGCGCGGCGCTGTGGCGCGGCGTGGCGCGGCGTCTCTGGGTCGGTCGTTGCCTCCCGACGGAGTAGCGGCTCTTCGCTAACGGGAGACGCCCCCTCTGCCCCCTGCGGGCCCCGCGGCGGCACGGCCAGGCATGGCGGCATGGCATGGCGGCGCCCCCCTCCACTTTGGCAGAAACACGCTGCCGGCCGCGCGGCCCGGCGCGGCTGGGCCGCCCGAGGAGCAAGCCAGCGCGCTCGCCGGTAGACTGATTCCGACTGAGTCTCTGTCTCTCTCGCACTCATGGGACGTCCCGTACAGGTGCGAGAGAGACAGAGCGACGATCCGGGGGCCCCACGGGCAGGGCCAGGGCCGGGGGTAGAGCCGAGCCCCCTGTTGACAAAAGTTGCATAACGAAGCGGCCGGCCGGACCACGGGGTGGCGTCCTGCTTTTTTTTAACATTTTTATTGGGTCTTAAACAGGGTTTAACAACAGTGGTAAAATAAATTATGTAACAAATAACAATGTTGCCCAATATAACAAAATAGCGTGTGCTGGTAGCTAAAAGGGGTTGTTCAATTTTTAATACAAGGTTAAAATTAAGGCGTTTGATACCAGAGAAGTTAACAACCATTTTGCATATACATTGACACATTAAAAGCTGATAATAGTTACATCACCCAACAAGGGCTGGGCTCCGCGTTTTCGCCCTCGAATCCCCGCTAATGTGCACGGCGGTGTCACACCGAAACAGGAACCATCGGCTCATTCAGAAATAAATTTGCAATTATTCAAAGTAAGTGACGTGGATGTGCAGAATTCCAAAAATATCGAAAGAACGAGGAGTTTTTACGGGCCAACGGTAGGCCTTTGTTATGCAGGGATTATGCTATGGAAGTCAATAACCACAACAGTTTCAGTTACAATGTGATTAAAAAGGAAGGAAAATCGTCATGTAATGATTTTTTATGATACAACACAATGATCAGAATTTTGTTACTATCACTGGTGAATTAAATACCTTAAGTACGTCCTGAAAGGGCGTAAACTATTCACGCTTATCAAACGGCTTGAATCGTTTAATGACATTGGAGGAGATTTAAAGTTTTTCCAGAAAGTCCTCTAACAAGCCTGAAGGAATGTTAATACCCTTAAGGGCGTAATTCTTATGCCTGTGTTTTACCAGTGTAGAGGCATTTCAATCGTTTTAACCGATATGCGTTTAAGAATAACGTTGCTGCATGAAGTGTGATGCCAATTTTTTTGTTTGTTCGCGTGAACCTGTGCAGTGGTAGCGGCCAGGCCAGAACCATGTCCACAGTGTGGTGCCTTGTCCACACTGCCGTGTCAGGTCGGCCCACTTCTCAAGCCGCGTCTCTGATTGATTTCCGGAAAGAGTTATTAGCGGCCCATGGGAACGCCCTGTCTCTCTCGCACTCATGGGGCGTTCCGTAAGGGAGTGAGAGAGACAGAGTAAGAAGCAAGATGTCCGGAACCAGACTTCTGGAGCACTTCCTCTCGATGGAACAAGACGGAAGGGCAGGGAGGACCTAACGACGTCGGTACACTGGTTAAAAATGAATTGGCAAATCCCGGAAAGTGCGTCAGGAAGCCCCGTCGGGAATTTTCAAAGGCTTCAGCTCTTTGCAAAGGTTTTACTTTCATCATAATCTGCCAGAATATATAGACACATTGTAGGTTTAAGAATTTTCCGAAGATCGGTGCAGTGTGGAGAGGCAGGAAAATATCGGGAGGCAGTTAAAAAGAAAATACACCAACGAGAATGGTAGAGAGGCTTGTGACAGTCGAGTAGACGCCACACAAGGCAACAAGACTCCTCATTCGACTCAGCCTTTCTGGCGAAACATATTTCAAACAACGCAAAAGTACGTAGCATTTTTGTTGCAAAAGTAACTGCAAAAGTACAGATAAATTTTTCATCGACTTCGTACAAAAAGAAACGTTCAAAGTACACATTTTTTTTGCGTAAATACCACAAAACAATCAAGGAATTGACGAGGGTGGAAAGCTTGAGAAGGGTTTGCGAGTGAGGCAGTCCTCGGTGGTGGGTCTCTCTCTCTCTCTCTCTCTCTCTCTCTCTCTCTCTCTCTCTCTCTCTCTCTCTCTCTCTCTCTCTCTCTCTGGAGGAGGAATTACATCCACGATGACGGGTCGAGGCGGTCGGCCGCACCACCAGCGAGATGCGGGGTTCATTCACTATTGCACGCCGCACTAACGGGACTTCCAAAATCGTTGCCGTAGTCCCCCTCCCCTCCCCCCTCCCCCTCCCCTTCCCCCTTCCCCCTCAGGGACTCACGCTTCCCGCCTTTCGCTCCTCCAACGTGAACGGCGCAGCCGCACGCCTATCGCAAAAAATAATTATGGCGACAATGAAAAGAAAAAATGGAAAAAAGAAATTAGCAATCGTAAACGAATACATTCAGAACAACTTTTTTTGTCCTTTCAGCGGAGAATTGTCATCTCTGGAGTTTCATTCACGGTATCATTATGGTTGTTATAACCAAGGTTCTAGCAGCTTAAAATACGTCACGCAAATTTTAGCAAGGACAGATCGTGTAGTGCAGCCGGAATTTCCCAAAAAAGTGCACACAGTGTCTTACGGTGAAAGGCTGCCCCAATATAATATGGTGGAGGTTTTCTACATAATACCAACGAAATTTGTCAAAATATGGTACAGTGAGTTCTCAATGGTATGTTACGAAGTCAGCTGCACCACCATAATATGGAACATTTTCACCATAATTTGGAGAAACTTCACTGTACAACATAGAGTGTGTCGACGCTGGTCATCGTAAACCTTCTTGCTCGTCCAGAGACCGACGAGTCCCCGACAGGGGCGATCGAACGACGGGGATGGACCATGTCACAGCCAAGTTGTTTACAACCTGCCGAGAGAGAGAGAGAGAGAGAGAGAGAGAGAGAGAGAGAGAGAGAGAGAGAGAGAGAGAGAGAGAGAGAGAGAGAGAGAGAGAGACGAGTGTTCGCCGCATCGCGAAGCAACGACGCCGGTTTTACCGTTGTTTTAAACGCCGCGCGCGTGGTCGGGCCGCGCCGCGATGACGGTGCTTCCCTCCCGGTGAGATTTAAACATTCGGCCGCGCGCGGCGTGACGAGACGATGTTCTTTCCCTCCCGGGGAACGTCTCATGAGTGCGAGAGAAACGGAGCGACGAACGCGAGTCTATCGGATGCAGTCTGCAGGACTGTGGTCAGTGAATTCAATTTCGAAATTTTGTGCGGTTGATATTCTGTCCCATCTTAAATTCGACGGCGTGGGCAATGGAGGCTGAATTCGCTTCCCCTCGCACGCACACACGCGGCCGGGCTGCGGAGGGCTGGGTCAACATTTTGATGTGGCAGCCCTGCGCACGGCCCGGCGCACCTGTGTGAAGGAGAGGGAGGGGGGGGGAGGGGGGAGGGGGGAGGGGGGGAGGGGGGGAGGCTTACACAACTCTTTCGGGGTCCAGCAGCGCAGGAGCGGCAGCATCCTCGGATCGGTCGGTTATTTTCTTTTCCCTTATTTTATTTCGTTCGCCTCTCTCTCTCTCTCTCTCTCTCTCTCTCTCTCTCTCTCTCTCTCTCTCTCTCTCTCTCTCTTCTCTCCTCTCTCTCTCTCTGTAGCCTTTGCATTTAGGGGGTCCGGGGGGGGGGGGGGTCGGGGAGGGGGCAGAGATGGACTCCTGCCCGTGTCATCCTCCTCGTGGCCATCGAGGCCCAAAGCTTGCCGGCCAGTGGGTATCGGGTGTCCCCGTCGACTGTCCCCGAGGCCGTGCCGCCGTGCCGTATGGCCCCGTCGGCTGGACAGCAATCCACAAAGACGCTTGCCCCCTCTCCCGCCCCCCTTTCCCATGCGGACAAATTAATTGGTAAAGAAAGTATTTCGAGTCCAGCCACAGCTAAATGACCTTCTTTCTGGACTGTCGACGATGTCACCGACGAGGCAGCGGCTCGTTTCCCCCCAGGTAACAGAGCTCTTGTTCACTCTCTTCAGTTTGCGACATTTGAACGACAAAGCAGTTGCTGAACAGCCCGGCGCTGTTGCCCAATGTACGAGCGTGCTTTTGTGCTGACACCGGCCCGGGGCGGCGTGCTGACGGCGCTGACACAGCTGACAAGTGCTGACAGCGGTGCGGCCGGCGCGCTGACATCAGCACGGCCCGCTACGGCCTGGGCATTCACACTACTCGCTGACGCCGCGCGAGCTGCGTGTCATCGGCTGGGTACCTTGGCGGCGAATGCTGGGGAGGAAAAACACTCGCCGCGGCCGGGGCTTGAACCCGCGACTGCAGTGGAGGCGGTCAAAATCCCGCCCGCCTTTTGAGCTCCAGAGTCGTTCAATGGGACTCGAACCGAACGTGCGACCCCACCAATGGGCTGCTCTCCGAGGAATCCATTGGTGGGGTCACATGCTCGGTTCGAGTCCTGTTCAGCGACGCCGGACCTCAAAACGCGTCTTGAGCTTTGACCGTTTGGCCGCCTCCGCCGGCCCTCTGGCCCACTGTAGACTCACCTACCTCTGATAGTGCTGGGCATGCTCGAGGCCGGCTGGTACTATGGCTGCATTCCCCTGGGAGGACCACCAGGACAAGTCCCACCGCCCGCTGCTGCTTCTTCTCTCACTCACACACGCGCGGTGCACTCACGCACGCACACACACACTCGCACGCGTGGCGTGGTCCTGTCAGCTGCGTAAGGGGGGCGGCGGTCCGGGGGCGGAGGCGGGGGCGGCGGGCTGGAGGCGACGGTGCAACTGGGGGCGGCAGCAGCGGGACATTGGTGCGTCACGGCGTCACTTGCGGCGCGCGGACACGAAAACACACGGACCCTGCCGGCGGGGGCGGGGGCGGGGGCGGGGGCGCGGCCGCAGCATGGGGGCGTCACACTGGTCACAATCGGGGCACAACACTCATCCGCCGGCGTCACAACCGCTTGCTGCCACACTGGTAATCCACTGGTCACTCGCACAACCGTTCACTGCACTCCGCACTCCGCACTCCGGGCGTTCACAACGTGTCCCGGCGAGGGTACACCACAAGCACGAACACAGCGCGGGGCCAATGTCAGGGTTACGCTGGCCGGACAGAGACTGAGCGGGCTCCTCCATGGAGCCGCCGGCCCCACGGGCCCCGCCTCACCCCGCCCACCCCGCCCCGCCCCGCCCCGCCCCGCCGCGCCCCGCCGCGGAGCCCCACGGAGCGCGGGGAGGCGGGGCGGGCACCGGAGCGAGCGGGCCCGCCGCCGGCCAGCGGGGCCCAGCGCATGGCCGGGCCGTGGCATGGCCCAGGTAGGGCCGGGCTACGCTTAGGACCCGGCACGCTGTTTCCTCAAAACTCTCAAACGTTCGCCAGGGACGGCCTCTGACCTTCCGGACCCCGCCGCCGGCCGCTTGCCGAGACGGACAAAATGAGAAGGAGACATCGCCATCCCTCCCGGAGCGTTTCCCTCGATGGGCGAAAAACTTCCCACTTTTATAGTGTACAAAATTTTGACACATTTCACATTCTAGTGACAGAAGATGCCTGTAAATAGGCAACATGTGTGGCAACCTAACTCTATCACCGTCCCCACAACCATCGTACACAACACCTTCACAAGGGCTCAATCTTCGGCTTCTCTGATGGATGCCAATTCACGTTTTGCACATTATTTGGGCACTGAAGGACGATTTGTGATTTCTCTGGAATTTGTAGTTTTAACTGGTGTGCTGGCTCTTCAGCCGGGCAGCCTGCCGACTGCAGTGTACGCGCGCGCCACAGGTGCCGGGGAACGCCGCCTGATGCGTGACGTAATATGTGTTATGAAGCGGGGGAGGCGGGAAGGACCACCTGGGGCCTAAATTCGAGAGGCGTTTTCGTCGCTCCGTCTCTCTCGCACTCATGGGGTGTCCCCCTATTAATGCGAAGAGAGACTGAGCGACGAAAACGACTCTCGGAATCAGGGTGCTGGGGCGGCGGCAGGGGCTCTGCGGGGGGCTCCCCCTTTTGACGCTATGACGCAACCAGAGTGCGAATTGGCCGAGTCGGGGGTGGCAGCCACTGCACAGTGGGCCAGAAGACCGATAGCGGCCAAACTTCTAGACGCGTTTTGAGCTAAAGAGTCGCTAAACAGGACTCGAATGGAGCGTGTGACCCCACCAATAGATTCCTCGTTCGGAGAGCAATCCAATGGTAGGGTCACACCTTCGGTTCGAGTCGCATTTAGCGACTCTGGAGCTGAAAACGCGTCCGGGGTTTTGACGGCGTCCACCATTCCTCTGGCCCACTGCGCGAAGGGCGGGCCGTGGTGGGCGGCGTGGTGCGAATAGCGCGCGGAAGGGGGTGGCAAGGGCAAGGGCAGCGGGCCGGCCGGCCACGTCAGCGTGCCTCCCGCCCGCCCGACCCTGACCGTCCTGACCGTGGCACGGCGACCGTGGACTGATATTCCGAGAGTCGCTTCCGTCGCTCTGGCCCTCTCGCATCCTCTACGGGACGCCCCGTGAGTGCGAGAGAGGCAGAGCGACGAAAACGACTCTCGGAATATCAGTCTTCTGGGCGGCAGGCCAGTCTAAGAGGCACATTTGTACTCCGGCATTACCTTCTTTAACGGACCGGGCAGGGCAGCACGCCGTCGACGCCGCCGTCGTCGTCGTCGTGGTCGGTCTTTTCGAAATCCATTAAGCAGTCAGGCCCTCGGTCGTACTGCAGCAGGGGTATCTTCTCCACGTCCGGCATGCCCGGCAGGGCTCGCTCATTAGTCAGTATAAGGTGACTACACCGGAAAAATGGGCAGTTGTGTTCGGCCTGGGCGGGGCGGGGTGCGGCGGGGCGGGGCGGGGTGCGGCGGGGCGGGGCGGGGTGCGGCGGGTTGCAGCGCATGGTGGGCCTGAAGAACGGTGGAGGCGGCCAAAGTCCCGGAGGTGTTTTGATTTCCAGCTTCGCTAAATGGACCTCGAACCGAACGTGTGACCCCACCAATGGAGTGCTCTCCGAACGAGGAATCCCTTGGTGGGGTCCTACGCTCGATGCGAGTTCCATTTAGCGACTCTGGAGCTGCAAACCCGTCCGCGCTTTTAGCCGCCTGCACCCGTCTTCTGGCCCACTGTGCGGCGCCGGCAGCGTGCCGGTCCATCAAGACGAACTTGCCGCGGCTTGCAGTGCAGGACCACGCCGCGCACAGTGGTGCCTCTCTCTCGCACCGCGACGGGCCGCGCCGTGAGTGGGAGAGAGACGGCGCGACTCTCCGGCGGCGGCGCGGAGTTACTGTAAAGGCCGTAAAGGCAGCCACCGCGTCGCGGTGCGTCGAGGTGCGCGGTGCGCCGAACGGCAAGCCGAACGGGCAGGCAGGCAGCCTGCAGGCCCCGCCGGGCCCCGCCTTGCAGTGCGAGGGGCACAGCCGAGCCGGGCCGAGCCGGGCTAGGGCAACCTGGGCAAGCTGGGCAAGCTGGGCAACCTCCCCGGCCAACGCGCAGCGACGCGACATAACGCGGCGGTCGTTCACCTGCCGGGAAAAAAACAACGGTTTGTTTATATCGAGGGAACAGGTGGAGGGGACCGCGATGAATCAGAGAAGAAGAGGAGGAGGAGGAGGACGCGGAGGAGAGAGAGAGAGGAGGAGGGGGCGAGCTGCAGCGGGGAAGGGTTACCCCCACCACGGCCAGTGCCCCTACCACCACCTAGAGGTGAATACACTCACTTTGGCCCAGTGACTTCCAGGCGGACGCGCCGCCTTCCCGGCCGCCTGCCTCCGCCGCGGACCGCCGCGAGGGTCTCCGTTCCAGGGGGCGCCCGCCGCGTCTATCTGTCTGTCTGTCTGTCTGTCTGTCTGTCTGTCTGTCTGTCTGTCCGTCTGCCTGTCTGTCTGTCTGTCTGTCCACCGCGGACCGCCGCAAAAGTCTCCGTTCCAGGGGGCGTCCGCCGCGTCTGTCTGTCTGTCCGTCTGCCTGTCTGCCTGTCTGTCTGTCTGTCTGTCCGTCTGCCTGTCTGTCTGTCTGTCTGTCCGTCTGCCTGTCTGCCTGTCTGTCTGCCTGTCTGCCTGTCTGTCTGTCTGTCTGTCCGTCTGCCTGTCTGCCTGTCTGTCTGTCCGTCTGCCTGTCTGTCTGTCTGTCCACCGCGGACCGCCGCAAGGGTCTCCTTTCCAGGGGGCGTCCGCCGCGTCTATCTGTCTGTCTGTCTGTCTGTCTGTCTGTCTGTCTGTCTGTCTGTCTGTCTGTCTGTCTGTCTGTCTGTCTGTCTGCCTCAAGAGTTTTGACCGCCAGCGCCGGTTTTCTAGCCCATCGTGCACTGGTGGCGCATCGTGGGGATTTCGTCGTTTAGCACCTGTCAATGTCTGTTTAGGTCCAGTACCGGGCACGGACGCCTGGCCCGCCCGACAGGGCTGCATCCGGACTGCCTACACTCCAGGCGCTCCGTCACTTCGTCGGCGGCAACGGGACGACGCGGTAACTTCAGGCCACTCTGTCTCTCTCGCACTCATGGGGCGTCCCGTAAGGTGCGAGAGAGACAGTGCGAAGAAAACGACTCTCGGAATCAGTCTGCTGTGCAGTCCGCCCCTTGATGCCCAGCCCGGCGGCGCCCGGCGGCAGTCAGATTGTCGGTCTGCTCTGTCTCTGTCGCACTCATGGCGTGTCCCGTAAGGGAGGGAGAGTGACAGGGCGGCGGCTAACCAGAAGCAAGTCGTTGCTCAGTTTCGCGAGATCGCGCAGTTTGAGAGGAACAGCGTAGCGGCGCAGTAGCTAGCTTGTAGCGCTGGCTGTACCGTTAGGCCTCGGCCGTGCCGCGCGGAAGTCGCGGGTTCGAATCCTCAATCAGTCAAAAGGCTATTAATTTTTTTCCTCGCGAGAGTTTGTTTCGAATAGCTGCCAGAGGGGAAATAGTTGGCAATCTTTGTCCGGCGTGGCGTAGCGCGCGCTCTGTTGTCTTTTCCTGGTCTCGGGCAGGAGAATGATCCTTACTGTTACAGTATTAGATTATCACGAGTACACAATTTTTCATTCAGAGCATTGAACTTATCAGGTGTTTCATTCTTACGACTCTCTGTTACAAGTGGATTTGATTTCTATCTGGACTCGTGTATGCATTTATTACACTCTTTTAGCGCATTTTTTAACGCTTGGCGAAGAACATGCTTTGGTTTACAGCGCCCGCCTGCACAGTGGACCAGAAGACCGGTGCAGGCTGCCAAAACTCTGGACGCGTTTTGAGCTCCACAGTCCCTACTTAGGACTTGAACCGAACGTTGTGACCCCACCAACGGATTCCTCGTTCGGAGAGCAATCCATTGGTGCGGCAACACGTTCGGTTCAAGTCCTTTATTTTGTTGATGCGGGAGCTTAAAACGCGTTTCGAATTTTGGCCGCCTGCGCCGATCTTCTGGCCCCTCCAGATTCTGCTTTTCGCAGTCTTGCCTCTTCGCGGCGGTCCTAGCAGAGCCTTGTCAGAGCCTTGGCAGAGCCTTGGCAGAGCCAGCAGACTGAGCTCGGCCCTAGCGGAGCCCTAACGGAGCGGCTGGAGTGGAGCCGACTGGAGCCCACCGCAGTCGGTCAGGGCGAGGTCCTTGATCCCAGCTAGGTCCTGGCGCGGTCCTGGCGCGGTCCGCACTGCCGCGCCGTCATGTTTCGCGGCGAAGCGCGATGGTCTTGGGTGGTGGCGGATGGTTTGGGGATGGTGCCGCACGGCCCTGGATGGTGCTTGTAGTCTACGCTCTAAATGTCGTAAAGTCAAGATTATCCA